TGAAATGAGACTGGACTATATGAGCAGTGCATGGAAATATTTTCTTAAGAGCGGGTACCAGACTTCTTTACAGAAGTAATTACTGGTTTTTAGGAAAAGCTACTTCTTTGAATATAAAATGTGAGAACTTGTAAGCAAGGCTCAACAGGAGCAAAACAAAGATCACTGATGTTCTTCAGGAAAAGTAAATTCATCATGGTCAACTCAGCTGCCCTTTATAAACTAATAGAAATACTAGATAAAATATAACAGTTGTTATATAAATCATATACTATACCTCAAAAACCAAAAACAATAACAGAGAGGAAATTCTCAGTTCTAGAAACAAATTGAAAAATTGAAGAGCACAAGGCAGAAACTGACACCGTGGCAGCCCTCCAACACTTCAGGAGCTAGTAGCTGGGTTTTAATGTCCAAACACACTATCTGAGGAGCTAGTAGCTGGGTTTTAATGTCCAAACACACAAGCTCTTGAGCTTCAGTGAGGCACAGGAGCTGGACTTAGGTCTTTAGGTAAAACCAAGAACCTTAAAGAACTGCTGGCCACTGGGACTGTAAAAACACTACCTACTATTCTGGAAGAAGGCAAGTAAGTCAGTTTTTCTTTTTTTGCCTGGGGCTTTGGATAGAAGGAAAAACAAACAAACAAAAGGCATCTGTGACAAAAACTACAATCCTGCAACAGATCTAAATTTACAATACGTGCATAACTCAAGAACCACAAACTGAGAAATTATCATTTAAAAATGCTTCAGGATCTTTAAGAGCCAAAGTATGCTGAGAGAAGCAAAATGCATAACTGCTCTGAAGGGACTCTTTCACAACTCATGGCATAAGAGTTCCCATAAAAAAAACAACCCCACTGAAAAAGAGCACCACATGAGGAAATAAATCTCTATGAGTAAGAGTCAGCAAATGTTGTAAACAAGACAGTTAGGAACTCAAAAGCAAGAAATAACAGAACTACCTGAAAAAGAAGATGAAGATATTTAACTTCATTAAAGAGGCAAAACAATAGAAATCATAAGGAAAGAATAGACAGTTTCACAAAGAACCAAATAGAATATGTAGTTTTGAAAACAATATTGTTATTGAAATGAAAATGAATGGGTTTAACCAGATCTCATCGGTGAATGAATATAACCATCATTTGTATTTATCATTTTAAATTATGCTTAGCTGTGTTTCTTTTTAAGTTTTGTCAGACATGTTACATTCGGTAAACTACAGTTCAAATAATAGGGGGGTAGAAATATTCAAAATGTGCTGATACTCAATACAACTTAAAAATATGAACTTCCTCTCATTACCAGTTTGTCCTCTTGAACCCCAAAATAATCTCTCAGCACAATTAATCACCCCCTCCTTATTTCTGCAGTGAAGGTAAAGTCCTTTCATTTTTAGTTCTAAGTTCCAGGGAGAGAGGATTCACTTCTGTCTTTGGAAGAGCTACTTTAACACTCTAAATTTAGAAAAGTATACCCAGGGAGAGAGAGGGTCCCTCCCAATGCCCTGGGAGAGTAGACCAAATCTTTCTTGTAGGCCCTTGTTTTATGGCTTCATCCGTGTCCTTGACGGTGCTGATGCCTTCCACACAACGACTAAGACTCCGCTAGCCTGCAAGATCTCTGCTTGGTATAGCCACTACCTGTCAGTGTTGAAGCTTTCAAAAGATTTTAATCCATGATCTGAAACAAGAACAGTGCTCTATTTATACTACATCTACCCTACGGTCCATCTTTGTTTCCAGCCCCGCCTATTTGTCTAACACCTACCACCCGTCCTACACAATTTCTCCTCTAGGCTCGGAACAGCTCCAGGTTGCGAGTGTCACTGCCCCTTCTGGACGTGGAAACTTGACATGAAAAACTCGCCAGGGTCAGAAGCCGGAGAGGGGCGGAGCCAGAGTCCCCAGAAGGCCGGTGCCACCCTGGCCCCAACAAAGTGCAGCTTCCGTTTTCTAGGAATCTCAGCCAACCGGAGGAGATTCTGAGGCTTCTAAAACAGAACGTGAACACATCAGGAAGCCTTTCTGCCTCACTGCCGCAGCCACTTCCAGAGGAGGCGGAGTCTGAGGGAGAGGCTCGCGCGGAAGGGCGGGAGGCGGGGCGGGCACAGCGCGAGGCCCCGAGGCTGAAGTGTGGGACTGCCCGAAGCGTGCCCGAAGCCAATGTCAACGTATACCACCTGCTCTTTTAGTCCCCAGGCCCGCGCCGTTGCATCTTCGGAGCTGCTATTGTTGAGACTCTTTTTTCTATCATCCTGTCGCTTTGATCGTACTACTGGAGGCGAAAGATGGAACTCTAAAGTCAGGCAGCTCCTAGGCACCAGCAGAATAACTGAGCAATGGAGGTGGGGTCCTTTGCTCGCGCCGAAATTCAAAGGATTAAATAGTTCCGGCGCGAGAGTTGGAAGTGGGGCTAGTGTTGCAGTCGCTATGTTAGAGTTGGCCTCGTAGCGGCCCAAGCCGGGCAAGTTTGGCCCGCTCTCCGCTTTTGTGGCCCAGAGGGGCTTTGGGGGCGCCTCGAGCCCAGGCGACGTGAGGCAGCGGCGAGGCGGTACGTGCGCGCGGCCGGGTGGACCGGCCTGGCATCCTGGCGGGAGATGGAGTGTGGGTGCGGAAGGGAACTAGTAGAGGGAGGGATCTCAAGCGATGATTAGTAATAAACCTAGTTCCTGCTTGGTCTTGGTGTGCGGCGAGCAGGTGTAGACCGAAAGGCCTGGGGACGCGAGGGAACAGTCTGAGTAAAAGCAAGCAGGTGGAGAATATGAGACAGCTCATCTTTTTAATAAATACTCACTGACTTCCCCCGACCCCGGAGTCAGGCACTACTCGGGTGTACAACGATGGACGTCGGCGGAGATCTTACAGGAAGTTATTACGATGGGTTGGATAGACAGATACATACTGTTTAGTGTCAGCTTTAAGTGCCATGAGGAAAAAGAAAGCCGAGTGAGGGGATGGGGAAAGGTGATTTTTTCATAAGGCTGTCAGGAGCCCTATGGTGAGCCCCAGTAAGGTGAGTTGAGCAACTATGTGTGAACCATGCCAGTGTCGGGGAGAAGTACCTTGTGAGCAAAGAGAATGGGATGTGAAATAATTCGTAGTCTTTATTACCTAGTGTATGATAAAAGTGGAAGTCAAGCCTGGAAAGGTAGGTAGTAGAAATAACAGGTATGACTTCCAGATTGAATGGTTTAACTTCCAGGTGGTGGCTAACTTTCCCATATTTTTAAGTAGGAGAAGGATAACTTTACATCAGAGAAGATAGTTTGGCAAGTGACTGTTTTATTTCTATTTCCTTGTCATTTTTGTTTAGTCTCTGACAATCACTATGATTCCAGGTTTACGTTCCACTTACGTGTTGGTGTTTCTGTGTTGCACACAACTGGTTTGTGGCCTGTTTGATTCCTAGCAGAGGTTTACCGGCCCAAGACAGTATCAAAAATGCATATTAAGTCAATCGTTCTTGAGGGATTCAAGTCCTATGCTCAGAGGACTGAAGTCAATGGTTTTGACCCCCTCTTCAATGCTATCACTGGTTTAAACGGTAGTGGGAAATCCAACATATTGGACTCCATCTGCTTTTTGCTGGGCATCTCCAACTTGTCTCAGGTAAAGTGTAAACTTTCTGATTTATATGAATTTGTTTGGCAAGGGAATCTTCACTGAACTTGGGAGACTATTGCCAATATTCTCTTCATTTGGGTTTTTGTACTTTATGTGGATTATCTTATACCTCATTGTAACTCTTTAAGGAAAGTAGTAGTATTCCATCTATTCGATGATAAAATAGAAACTTAGAGAGGTTGCCTAAAGGTCATCCTCTTAAAATGTTTGTCTGCTTAATAGGTACTACGTGGGTGAGTTTTACTATACCATGAAGCCCACTTTTAGTACTACTTTTTAGTTGATAAACATTTCTGTTTTCATTTTAGGTTCGGGCTTCTAATTTACAAGATTTAGTTTACAAAAATGGGCAGGCTGGTATTACCAAAGCCTCAGTGTCAATCACATTTGATAATTCTGACAAAAAACAAAGTCCTTTAGGATTTGAAGTTCATGATGAAATTACTGTAACAAGGCAGGTGAGTGGCTACTAAACATTTGAATACCCTAATAACTTTCGTGTCTAATGTGTGCTTTGGCAATATGGCTTTGCAGAAAGTGCTGGAAAGAGAAATCCATTAGCAAAATTGTAGCATCAAATCCCGAATAGACTCCTTCGGAATATCTTATATTAATTTTTTGATTATGCAAATTCCACCATTAACTAAGAGGATTGAAAGAGATTTGAAAAGTCATTCATCCAGTGTAAGCATTCAACCCTGCTTAAATCTTGATCCGTACTTGAATCTTCTCTGGCTGTACTTGAATGCCTCCAATCCCTGAGATCTTGCTATCTTTTGAGATAACCCATTGTGTTTTTGGACAGATCTTACTAGAAAGTTATTCTTGTAAATTCAGCCAAAGTCTGCTGTCTTAAAGTTTTACACATTTATCCTAGTTTATTAAATTTAACTTATTCTATATTTTAACATTTAAGCACTCTGCAAGTCTAAACATCTTCCAAGTAAAATCTTGCCAGGTCTTCATACCAGTCCTTACCCAACCCCCAATCAATCTGTCTACTCATCTGTGTATTATTCTGTTCCTGTTGCTTATACCAAAATACTTGAAACTCGGTGATTTATAAAGAAAATAAAAATATTTGCTTACAGTTTCTGAGGCTGGAAATCCAAAGTCCATCCGCTGGTGGCGACAGTGATCCGGGGATCCCATGTTGCAAGACAGTGGAAGCAGAGAGACAGACTCTCCTCTCTCTCTTCTTTTAAAGCCCTCAGAACCACGCCCCTGACCACCATTTTTAATCCATTCACTACTGCACAGTCCTACAATCCAATCACCTCTTCAAGGTTTCACCTTTCAATTACCATAGTAGGTTTTCCCACCCTTTTAACCGTCACAGTGGGGACCAAGTTTCTAATACATAAAGCTTGGGGAGCACAATTCAAGCTTCAATGAGTTTTGAAGGGACATAATTCAATCCACTACAATCTGTCTATAATATTTTTAATGTGTAGCACCTGAAATTGAATGTACCAGAATAGTCACAGTGGGGACCAAGTTTCTAATACATAAAGCTTGGGGAGCACAATTCAAGCTTCAATGAGTTTTGAAGGGACATAATTCAGTCCACTACAATCTGTCTATAATATTTTTAATGTGTAGCACCTGAAATTGAATGTACCAGAATTAGTCTACTTAAAACAGAATTAAGCAGAATTATCACTTAATTTTTTTCATTTTATTTTATTTTATTTATTTAATTTTTTTTGGCAGCTGGCCAGTACAGGTGTTTATTTTAGATATTTTACTTTCATTTTCTCAGTATGGTATTGGAGTGTTCATAATACATTGTGGATTCATATTAGATTTGCTTGAAACCACTCTAATTTTTTAAATGTTTGTTATTACTCAACCCTGTTACTGCCATTTCTGTATGTGTGCAGGTTTTTGAAACCAGTGCAGGACCTTACATTTGTCTTTTAAATTTTTTTCTTGTTATAGTCAGGTAGTATTTTCAGCTTGATGAAATTTTGTTTTTTAAAATTTTGTTAACTCCCATTTACTCTCTCTTACTATTATGTTATTTATAGATTTTTCTTCTCTAATGAAAGCCTGACTGAAAAAAAAAATTGACTGTGTTGAAACAGAATTCTTTTCTGTGTCATTAGGCTTCCATTAAATAATCATCTTTTAGGAATTGTCACTAAGTCTGTTAGTAATTGTTCCTGCCTTCATTCTGGCCATAAGCCTGTACCTTCACCATTTTTTCATAAAGTCTGTGGCAAATTACTTATGGGTGTGCTAGGTCTGCTGTTCAAATATATTAATATATGAACTACCAACCTAATAATTCTGTCAAGAGAAGGAATGAACTAATGTTTATTAAATATTAAATGCTTGATGTGTACTAGATGTTCTTGAATGTACTGGATATACAAATAGAAGAAAGAGAAATAGATCTTGTCTTTAAGACTCTGGTGGATGAGACAATTGTACCCAATAAATAACAATTTGAGTGCTATAGTGGAATATGAACAACCTAGTGTCTGGCATGACTTGTTCTTAATGAAGCCATGTTGAAGCTCCATGCTCACTCTTCCTTTTAAATGGTCTTTTAATGTCTTTATTAATCCCTCTTAAAATCTTGTCATGAATTGATATCAAGCTCCTTGTCTTTGTTTTTAATATCTGGCTTTTGTTCTCATTGAAAAGTGGAGAGAGGTTAACCTCTCAATGTGGAAATATTGTGGAAGGAGAGTGACCAGGAAAGCAAAGTATGTTTTACACATACTTGGAAACATAAAGCTATAAGTAATCTGGGAGATCTAGGCCACTGCAGGGGAGGCTTGTGTGTGATTACCTAACTAGCTAGCAAAAGCACCTGGAGTAGAAGCTAGTTATCCTGCCTCAAGTTAGTATTTTTTGACTGTGTCATGCTTCATCGACTATTTACTCAGGATTGGTTTTGTTTACAGTTAGTTGGACAGAACAATAAATGCAAGGTAATATACTTGGTAATTTTTCATTTGAATACAAGGTACTCATATACATTTATATTTTTTTTAAATGTTTTCTTTTTTAGGTGGTTATTGGTGGTAGAAATAAGTATTTAATCAATGGAGTAAATGCAAACAACACCAGAGTACAGGATCTCTTCTGTTCTGTTGGCCTTAATGTTAACAACCCTCACTTTCTCATCATGCAGGTATTTTGTTTGTGGTCTTTATATTGTTTTCTTAATGGTTTTGACATCGTTTATTTTTAAGTTATTACAATAGAAGTGCCTTCTTTTTTGGATTTTTCATCTTTTATTTACTATTATGTAGTGTTTGGGTGCCTGTTAAGAAAGATAGTTTAGTTATTTGCACTGATATGTTCAACCATATTATATACATTTAAATTTTGAACACCTTCTAGAAGTAATTTTCCTTGACTTTTATTTTGTTATTATAAGAACAATACATGCTCACTATAAAAAACATTGTCATAACATATTCCTTTGAGTTATTTGGTTAAAGCATTTTAATATTTCAAGTGTAAAAGTTTGAGTAATTTTCTTTAGAAACTTACACAAATGAGATTAAAGGCTGATGTTACCTTGTACTTAACATTATTTCACTTTAACCATCTAGCAGTACTTTGAGAGAGTCACAGCAATGTTAATGGCAGGATCCTGATGGGACTGAAATAAAAATATTTTCACTACATCACAGCTTCAAGTCTGAAAGTTTACTTGAAATGAATCTACATCCCATGTAATATGATTCTCTGAGACATGGGCATGCAGATTTTTTGTTTTGTTTTTGATAGTGATTGAATGTAATGATTTCCTGGCACTGAAATATTTTTTTATTCTATTTGAGGCCTAGGAGTATTTCATGAAATTATCTTGGAGGGCTATGATTACAAAAAAATCAAGAAATGTTAATTAATTATGCTAAAATGTATTTATACATTTATTTATTTTAGAATTGGATACTTCTACATGATTAATATTAACTGTCTCAGAAATATGGTCTGAATTAACTTTGTATCATTTCATAACTTATGTAATTTGTATCACTGGTAAATGAGAAAGTGAATAGCAGAGTTCTAAAATTCCACAATTATAAGGTAACTTTGGTTTCAAATTGAATAAAAGAAACATCTTTTCATGTAGGTAGAAGAAAGACCTCCCCAACTATTGGTATATTGGGGTACAACACCTTCAGTACAGATAAACACAAATGATTTTAGGTTACATTTTCTGTAATTTGTTGTTATTAAAGTAAGTTTGCCATTTTATTTTCAGGGCCGAATTACAAAAGTATTGAATATGAAACCTCCAGAGGTAAGAGTACTATATATAGACAGTAAAAGTAATAATTATAGATATTGCTTTAATCTTTTAGGCAATCAATTTTTTAATTAATTTCTTCCTTTTTAAATTCTTGGAAACATTATTTATTTAAGAACAATTACTAAAGAAATTAGTTTGTATATTATTTGGCACTGTACCGAATATTAAAAGAAATTTTGACTATATAAAGAAGTCTTGTTCAACTGGTGTTCCATGTCAGGATTAATCCCTACAGCAAAAGATTTGCATGAAATTACTTGTATTTAACTTTTATGGTATATTTGGGTCATTATTTTGGTAAGATGTTTCAGTAAAGGCTATAAATTATATATGTATACTTAATGTAAATTCTACTGAGACACATTTTCTGGATTCTTAAGACATGAATGTAATTATCATTCCAGATTTTATCCATGATAGAAGAAGCAGCTGGAACCAGGATGTATGAATATAAAAAAATTGCTGCACAGAAAACTATAGAAAAAAAGGAGGCTAAGCTGAAGGAAATTAAGACGGTACTTAAATTTATATAAAACATATTTAGAGAAGAGTGTAATTTTGCATTTGGAGTTTCTACTATAAAGAGGGAAAGTTTTTTTTTTTCTCAGTTCAGTTTCCATAGTCTTCCATGCTACATCTCTTTTAAATTTTTTAGATAGTATACTTACTGAAAATAACGATTTGTTTTTTAAATTTTCCAGATACTTGAAGAAGAGATTACTCCAACCATTCAAAAATTAAAAGAGGTATATACTATATATTTGAGGACAGCCAGTTAGAATATCTTCCAAAATTGGTGATGTATCCAAAATCATATACACAGGGATGAAATGTATACTATATATACTATATATACATAGGGATGAAATGTATACTTGAGAATTTTTCTTTGGAATAAGATAAGGAGTTAAGAGTTGGCACTCCGAAACTCAGCCTCTGCTTGCAGAGGATTTTACTTCATGTCTATTTAGTGAATTATATTGGAGAATGATCTTTGTAATCTCAGAAAATGAAATGCCAGATTTTAATATTTTGTTGAAGAGAAGTAAGTCTGGATTTTCCTGGATAATTATAATTGATTGGGATAACATTTCTTAAAGTATGGCACTTTTAGTAACCCTCACTGATAGAGTATCACTGTAATTATTGTAGTCAAGGCATTTTGTAAGTGAAAGGTATTGAAACAGGAGATTGAATTTTCTCTCTAATCTTTGCACCTCCTGACATTGTAGAGCTTAGCAATGTTTCAGTGAAAGAATGCATTTATAAAGGACGTTGTATAAAAAGATACCCATTTAGGAATTTATTAAATGCTCATTAAAATTTGGTACTGCTGAAAGCTGTCTTCCAAATTCATATAAAAGTGTAGATATTACTGGAAAAACTAAAGAATTATGATCTTGAAGGTATACCCTTTGTATGCATGATTTAGTGGAAAACACTAGATGGGGTGTTTAAGCTTACGTTTTGGACCCATTTTTGCCACATTCTTTCAAAATCTGACAATAGGGACAAGCCATTTAACCACTCTGAATTTGTTTCTTCATCTGAAAATTGGGGATTTTAGTTGTTACTTTGCTCCAGCAGTTTCTTGTGAGAATTGAGTTTAGTAATATTTGATCAAGTGCTTGTGGTATTTGAAAGAATGTTAGGTAGGCATCTTTGTAATACTACAAAGTACATTAAGTAATGTATCACTGGTGGGTGTATAGGTTGTCTTTACAGACTTCTTATTACCACCAGTTTATGAACCTTATGTCCATGTTTCTTTGTTAATCGCAACTGCTTGATTATATATTAGAAGAAATAGCCATATAGGATTCACTAGAGATGATCTTATTACCACCAGTTTATGAACCTTATGTCCATGTTTCTTTGTTAATCGCAACTGCTTGATTATATATTAGAAGAAATAGCCATATAGGATTCACTAGAGATGATACATATAATGCTATATAAAAAGCCAGAGTTCTAATGTTATTTAAAATTTCCAAAAATTTAAAATGCCATGATCATTTAATATAAGACAATCTATTATTAATCATGTAATGGGAAATTTGATACATATTGCGTGTTTTCAAATTTGTTTGAAGATATGAATTTTGAGTTATTCTATCTTGGTGACTTCTCTTTCAGGAAAGGTCTTCCTACTTGGAGTACCAAAAAGTAATGAGAGAAATAGAACATTTGAGTCGATTATATATTGCTTACCAGTTTTTGCTGGCTGAAAATACCAAAGAACGTTCAGCTGAGGAGTTAAAAGAAATGCAAGATAAAGTTGTAAAGCTTCAAGAGGAATTGTCTGAGAATGATAAAAAAATAAAAGCACTTAATCATGAAATAGAAGAATTGGAAAAAAGTAAAGATAAGGTTAGAACATATATATTAGATAATATACTCTGTGAAAAAAATATTAAGTTATATACAATAACTTTAGGATTCACTGGGCATTGTCTTCCGTGTTGATATATTAATCTTAAAATAGGATAATGAGATAGATTATAAAATAGTAAATATTTTATATAGAAATCATATAAGAAAACGGCAACATGAACAATTTTAAGTAATTTGATTGAATTGGTTATAATTGATTACAGGAAATTGGAGGTATACTCCGATCTTTAGAAGATGCTCTTGCAGAGGCTCAGCGAGTTAATACTAAATCTCAAAGTGCATTTGATCTCAAGAAGAAAAATCTGGCAAGTGAAGAAAACAAACGCAAAGAGCTGGAAAAAAATATGGTTGAGGTAAGTGAATAAGAAGCTTAAGCTAATTGACACTAGTCTACATTTATTCATTTTGCTAATATTTAGTGAGTGACTGCTAAGGGCTCAGTACAGTTGTTTGGACTGAGGGTACAGCAGTATACAGATAGTCAAAAGTTCTTGGCTTTTGGGTCTCCATTCTAGTCAGAGAAATGATGACAAAGAAAATAAGTAGATAAAATATATGTAGTATGTTTTATCGTAATAACTGATGTGGAGAAAACAATAAAGCAGGGAAGGGAATTAGGAATATAGGAGAGGAAGAGCACAGTTTGACATTTTAAACTGGGTAGCCTTTGCAAGTATGGAGTTCATCTTTAGTTAAGGTGGGGAAAATAAATACAGCATGAATATAATAGGTTTGAAGTGCTTGTTAGACATCCTAACATTTTGAGTGTCAATGTTTAGGTAGTAAAATATATGATTATTGAATCCAGGCTAAAAATACAGATTTGGGAGTCATCAGTGTATAGGTGATATTTAAATCTATGAAACAAGGTAAAATTTTCAAGGGCATTAGCATATACAAAAAAAAAGAAGAGGTCTAAGGTTTGAGCACTGGGATACTTCATCATGTGGAAGTTAGGGGACATGAGAAATAATGAGCAAAAAGATTGAAAAGGTATGAGGGAAATTAGGCCGGTAAGTTGTCTGGAGGCCAAGTGGAAAAAGTGTTTCAAGGAGAAGTGGCCATGAGTTCCTGATGAGAGGATGCTCACACTCTGAATGACGGCAGAAAAATTTAGGAGTGAGTATAGATAAATCTTTTGAGAAATTTTCTGAAAAGAAAATGATAAATAGGAAGATAATTAGAAGGTAATTTAGAAGTAAGACTTTTTTTGGCTCAATTTTTCATGGAATAAACAACAAGTTATATATTGATAGAAAAGATCCGGTAGAAAGAGCAAAATCTGTGATTCGAGAGAGATGGGAGAATTGTTAAAACAAGGTTCTTCAGGAGGTGAGAGTAGGATGGTTACTAGTGTATAATTAGAGAAGATAGCCTTTGCAAGTGGTAGGAATAGGTCATCCATAGTAACAGAACAGCCAAGTATATAGTCTCATATGTAGGTAGATGAGTAGGTGTGTGATTGGAGCCTATGGAACTTTTCTTGAGGGTGATTCTGTTGTACCTCTCCTTTTCTGTACCCCTTATTTTTCCTGATCCCTTAATGTTAGTATGCCCCAAGGCTAGCACCTAAGACATCTTGTAGATACACTTCCTCCAAAGATGATCTCATTCAGCCTTGTAGCTGAATAGCCTAATAGCATCTATATGATGATGTCTTTTAAATCTATAACTAGGCTTAACTCTTTCCCTGAACTCTGTGAAGCATGTTGACTGTGCACTGGTTACCAACTTGTTTGAGTCCAATAAGAAAAAACATACTCATACACAGCCTTGTAGCTGAATAGCCTAATAGCATCTATATGATGATGTCTTTTAAATCTATAACTAGGCTTAACTCTTTCCCTGAACTCTGTGAAGCAGGTTGACTGTGCACTGGTTACCAACTTGTTTGAGTCCAATAAGAAAAAACATACTCATACACAACATGTTACATGATATAGATTTATTACTTAAAAATAGGCAGCAAGGGATAACAGAAGCCTAGGATTCACTGTGAGCTGGTCCTCTTAAGGCTCAGACAAGCTGCCCCAGGCAGATGTTATTTCATCTGCTTGTGCTCCATTTGCACCACAGCTGAGGGACCCCATAAAGCAGCATGTCCTCAGTTTTTACCCTGGGTGACATGAGGTTCTGGGCTAAAGCATTGAAGAACATACTGTGTGTGGAGGAAGGCGACTGGAACAAAGCCTTGGCCTTCCAACCAGTCCCTCCCTATCTTAGGATGTAGCATTCCCGGCACATTCTACAGTTATTTTTGAGCCAGAAAGGGGGAGAAATTTGTTGGTCCAGTGTCACCTGGAGAAGTATCGTGTGGTCTATCCCCAGACCTAGATGTCCCCCTTCGCAAATCTAGTCCAGTTTATATGCCTATGGACTTTTCCAAATCTGGAGAAGGATGAGGGGGCTCATCTCCTAAGATTGATGTAACACTTTGACTTACACAGTCTCATTGTAGCATTGTTGAGCCATAAACAGTACATTTCACTAGGCCCAGGAGGACCACTACACAAGCAGAATGATCAGGCCTGCCTGGAGCACTGACACAGCCCAGGGTACCAGTGATCCAGGTGTGAATCTGCTAAAGAGGTGAAAGAAGTATTCCTCAGGTGGCCCCAATGTCTGCAGCCAGTAAGCCTGCTTCAGAATTGCCTTTACTTATGTCTCTACAGTGCCTGAGGTCTTTAACCAGGTACAGCAGGAGGTGTTGTCAGTCACATGCACTCCTTCCATGTGGGCTAACACAACGTTTAGAGCAATTCTGTTGTCTAAAACAACCTTCCTGAGGAAGTTGAGGGATGTGTGTTGTGCTGCCAAGGCAGTAGCAGTAGTGAAAGCACTGTCTGCCATTGTCAGAAACAAGTTTCTTATTTTCTCGTGAGCACTGACTCTTACTTGTGGTACCAACGGTCTTATAAAGGATTTAAACCCAGAGTTAGTTATACTCCCTGGTAGACCCCTAGTAAGCCTGGGGTACAGCTTTAGGCTGCTGGCCCAGTGGTGCATTTCATTCCCAGCAGTGATATCTAGGGGCACTCCCAGCACAGCAAACGTACAGGATTCCACCATCCACCAAGTTTCAAGGCATGACATTGTCTATCCAGTGATAGGTCACCCCAGATTGCCCACAGAAAAAGATACAGTCCTCAGATGCACACAGCACCCTTTCTCCAGCTTTATTGTTCAGTGGCCCATTCATGGGTATGGAGGCATTGGCATTCTCCAGCTAAATCTCATTAATGGCATAGTTGTATGAGCCCAATTTCCCCCATACAAAATTGTTCATGAAGCTCCTACACAGAGGGCTAGCACTAGTCCAGTCTTGTTTTTGTCATCTCTACTAGAAAACTTCTCATCCGTATATTCAGAGGAACATGTTGCCTTAAAGTACCAACCTGTTAAGGTTTTGTTAGTTTTGGTCATGACATTTTGCCACAGAGTAAACTGAGTTAATATGGGGCATTTCTGGCTTCATTCCATGCAGCAGGTGCCATATCCTCTCTTAGTAAGTCAGGGCAGGGTTTGTTAGTGTACACTGTGACATCAGGAATGCTAGTGTAGTTTACTGCTGGCAGGACCAGATGGTCACTGAGGTCTGTGACAAAAAAAGGTCCAGATGGCATATCCAACATTTTGTGGATTCTAAGGCTACCATCACTGCCCTTATGAGGAACTTATGTTGTGTTTTAGATACTTAAAACCAGAATACCCATGGTAGCCACAGGTTGGGAGAGCCTAAAAAAGGTAATAGGCTTCCAGGCCTCTGCTGCCACATTCTTGTGGAAAAAGCATATTGCAGGTTAGTTTTCCATCTCCAACCCCTGCCAGGATCTCAGGTATCTACTTTATCAGATAGGGATTGTGCTAAGTTGGTCTTGGGAGAGCCTAAAAAAGGTAATAGGCTTCCAGGCCTCTGCTGCCACATTCTTGTGGAAAAAGCATATTGCAGGTTAGTTTTCCACCTCCAACCCCTGCCAGGATCTCAGGTATCTACTTTATCAGATAGGGATTGTGCTAAGTTGGTGAAGTGATTCAGTGTGTCTGTCCCTGTCCTGAGACTACTACCTCTGTAGGCACCCATTGCCCATGGCTTGACCCAGACCTTTTAGCCTTAGTTGTTCAGTCTAGTAAGGGAGGTCATGTGCTGTACACACTTGACATGTCTGATAATATTGACTGGAAGGATCAGATATACCTGGCCCTGTTAGAGGAACCCTAGCACCATGGTGTTACTTGGTCCTGTCCCCACCCCTGTGAGACTCCATAGAGGAAGGTACCCAGGGGAAGCATCTTTTCCAGATTAGAGTTAGGGGCCCCTGTCTGGGGTACCATATTAGCCTGAAACAAGTCACCTCTAGGGCACACATTCTAATGGGAAAAAGAATGGTTGGGAACACTAAGATTGGGATTTCACAGGTGTAGCCTAATCAGACAGCCAACTGGTCCACCTCCACCCCCACCAAACTCAGTGTTTCAAAGTGCACTGCAGTGCTGTTTCCCTTGCACTAGAGTGCAGTGATTAGTGTCAATAGTGCCCATACTGCCCTACTCAGATGGCAGTACCACTCTACTAGGGTGTCTTCAGTTGTTCTATGAGTTGCCTATTCCATTGTTCAGTGGCTCCATTGGCCTGCGCATGACAGGGTACATGGAAAGTCCATTTTATTCCATGAGAATATACCCATTGTTGCATTACTTGGGTAGTGAAGGATGTTCCTTGGTCAGAATGAAGCCAGATAAAGTCTCCAAAAACACGACATAAGTTCCTCTCAAGGGCAGTGGTGGTGGCCTCAGCATCCACATGAGTGACATATATTCGAAAAGGCAGCAAGCTATTGCCATGGTCCTTGTCTCCACATAGGGGATCTTTTAACAGTCCACTTAGTTGACATTTTCCTAACCAGTTGGCTAGGGTGTTGGCAACAGCCCATGAGTTGGTGAAAATATAGCAAGATATGGTGGTAGGGGATGCTTGAGTGGATGTCACCTTTGCATGTAGTTTGGCTCATTGGGAGAATGGGAACGTCTATGTTCAATTTCAGTCAAAAGATGGGCTCCCATTGGCCTGATGGTGGCCGCAGCCCAGTGGACCCCTTCTGCTTTGTTTCACAGAGATTTCAGTAAACTGTGCCATACTCTTGGTAGTCACATCTTCGAACCTTCGGCCCCCAGTAGCCAGAGGAAGAGCCAAACCATCCCCTGAGGGTCATTTGGACCCTTCTGGTGAGCTAGACATTTGTTCATGGAGCCTGCTGGTCCCTTGGGGTTCTGGCTGGTCCTGAGTTTGAATGTACCATTTCCGTTTGATAATTGAGCTCTATTGAGCCTGACCAGATTCATTGGTGGTGTTTGTAAGCACCCAGGTAATAATGGGAGTTCAAGTCTGAGAGTCACATGTGGTCCCTTAAGATGCTTAGTCTCCATGAGCGCACAATAGCAAGCAAGGAGTTACCATCCAAAAAGGGTATATATGTGTGGCTGCCTCATGACCAAAATCTGAGAGGCTAGTGTACCCCAGTGGCAGTTTTCTGTTGCCACAGACTCTGATCAGTATGCAGGGACACTGCAGACACTTGTCATTCCATTGGGCTAGCAGGCTCAAAAAACTAAAGGTTTTAAAAGCAGTGCCCAGGCCACAACTTGTTGAATGACTTCCAAGATCTGTTGTTGCAAAGGGCATAATTTAAAGTTGGTGGTTTTGTTGATCACCTTGACTAAGGGGGCCAAAAGAACACCCACATGGGGTACATGCTTTGTCTACTACCCAAGAGGCCTACCAGCTGTTGGACTTCTTTTGTATTAGTGGATGCTACCAGGACCAACAATTTTTGATTAACTGTATCTGGAATACTTTCTTGGCTTTCTGTCCATGTAGCCTTGACATTCAACCTGTGACAGTCCATTGTTAGTCTCCATGCTTCAAAGGCCTTTCTGACCAGCCAAACTGAACAGGTACATTGTGACATTTTTATCGGTAGCAGGTTTTAAATTAATGCAGTAATGTCCTGTTCTCTACTTATTATGCAGTACTACTTTTGTTGAATAACCTGCTGGGTCTTATGCAGCTTAGGAGGCAGGCAGGAGTGTATATGCCCCTCTGTCAGGCTCAGTGCTTAGCCATGAAGTGATGGTGGTGATGTTTTTTGCCACAAGCAGCCAAAATGTCAATACCTATAATGTACTCAGTGGTGGGAAGCATGGTCACTGCTGCTCAAAATGGCCTAGCAGGTCCCACCCACAGCAGATAAGCATCACGAGTGACCATGTTCCTCCCAAAACTTCATGTCAATAAACAGCACCACCATTCACCTAATTGTTTAGGCCAGAAATCCTAGAGTTTTTCTGAATTCCCCCTTTTCTCAAAGTCCATATCCTGTGTGTCAGCAGATTGTATTGACTTTAAAAGTATGTGCAGATGACAGCCACTTTTTATTACCTCTATCATTGCCAACCTAGTTTGAGCTGTCACCGCCCATGAGACCTATTACAATAGCGTCCTTATTAGTTTCTCTACTTTTACTCTTGCTGCTCTGTGGTCTGCTCTTTACAAAGGCTAAAATACAAATTGGACTTACCACTCCTATGCTTAAAATCCTTCAATAGTTTTAAAGTCACGTGTATATTTAAATCCAAAGTCTTTGTCATGGCCTACAAGTGTGATATGACTACTGGCTCCCTCTTCCCATTACTCACTGTGCTCCAACCATAGTATTTCAAACACCCAAACATGTTCCTCAGGGCTTGACAAGTACACTGATTCCCCCCCCCCCCCCCC